GCTCGACGACCTGCACGTGAAGTCGAGCACTTTACTCCAGAGCTGTTTAACGATGACCGATACCGTGCTCCCTGGGTCCCTACGCAGGTTGATCAAAGTGGTCACCCACCCGCTTACTGACAGCAACCAGTGATGCTTGACTTTGGTTATCTACTGGAAACCGTGTCTTTACGATCAGTCCACTGGGACACCCCTTAATTGGATAAGAAAAATAAAAAGTAAAATAAAATGAGAAATCAAATGATCGAATGGTTGATTAACTATAGTGTTTAATGGCACAAGAAGCAGTTATTCTGCTCTGAAATCAAATGATATTACTCTCCAAATAACAAAATAAAGTCAGATTAAAAATTGAGCCTAGCACCTTAATTAGAGAAAAAAAAGAGGAAATTAAATAAAAGTAGAAAAAATTCAAACATACCCGGGAGACGTAGATAAAACATTTTCTTGAAGAAAACACCCCCGCTTTAGAGAATATATATAATACTTTTATAATGTAAATTTTCACTAAGCTTTATTGTATAAAAAATACTACAATTAGATGAAGTCAAAAATTTGTCTACTTTAAAAATGTTCCAATATAATTTCATATTACTCAGTGCATTCGATGCAAACTTTTTAAAAATTAAGTAAGCGAAGACGTTACACCCCACTGTAATGTTATTTAATGAAAGAGCAGTCAATTAAATGAATCAATTCCTCCCAGAGCCCTCGGGGATTCAAATTATTTAGTTCTAGTAGATGTCTGACCTTTTCTCCAAGTTTGTCAGAACTGCCCAACGTTGACCTCTTGGAGGCGTTGTCTGGTTGAGGGTGAGAGAAAAGCAACCGATAAAACTAGAACGATATTTTGGTCAACCACGCAAGTTCATGGTGTATCAATCAGCAGAAATTTAACCGGAATATGATTTGGAAAGAATAAGATTAGGTTGTGTAATCTGTGCATTTCAGGGACATAGATACATGCAATTTATAGATTTTCGAATAATGGATCTACTCTACATAAAATTGATACTGGAATTGTTTTTCGGTTTGGTTTCGGTTTGATTGAGTTAGAGAAAAAAAAATAATTCTACCTGAATTTAGCATCACTGATAAACGTTCTAAGCTCACAATAGATCAAATAAAATTATTGTTTTTGCCAGCCACGAATAAGTGACGAATACTTTCATTAGTAAAATTGAGAAATTCAGAAATTGCTGGGTTTGATGACTGCTGAATCTGGAATAATTACACATGCTAAGCAATTATGTTATTTCGCGTAAGCGTAATTAAAACACAACTTCAGTATATTTTGAAAAAACACCATCTACCTTTGTTTACAAACGACTACTACACAAAAGTGCTGCTATGCAGAGACAACTAAGTTCTTTTATTTAATCTCGTTACTAAGTTAATTACAGGCGTGCAACAACTTATATTTGTAACGTGCGTGTTACAAACTTGAAGAATGAATACATTCACTGATGGCGTTACAATATTTGCCAAATCATCGTAATGAACTTCATGGAGTTTAATTTTGATAACAACAACCAAAAAATTAATGTATTTTAACGATTTATTTAGGAAATGAAATTCATTGTAGGCTTACATATTTGAAAGGACGAAAAATAGTATTAAAATTACGTAATTTTGAAAGAGTTTTGAGAAATAGCGCCAGGAACGAATTTTCAAATATTTATCATCTTTAACTAAATTCACTCTAATTAATTGAAATAATATTTCTGCTAGAGAATTTCTGAATGTTCTTAGAATATTAAATTGAAATGATAAAGCAATGAGTTTTCAAAGAACTGTATTAAAATTTTCTTTACCAGTATTTCAGTTTTAGGAAGAAGCTGGTCAGCTTACTACGTGTCATTTACTAAATTTTTTTTTAAAGTTTTTAAATTTGTGAAGTTGTTTATCGAATATTTTTGATTAAGGCCATTATAAAATTTTTTGTAGCTTTGAAATACGTACACATTTTTATTATGTCTTTAATAAGTAAAAATAAATGTGCACTTGACTATGGGGAAATACGAAAGATGTCATTACGCTTGCACTACTAAATGATCAAATTTCTTGCTTATGGTAACCCGTGCTGAGGCCTTCACTTTTCTAGGAGGTATTTTATTTTATTTTTTATAACCGTCGTTGAAAAGCCGACCCAATTTTGGGTTTACGACTACTAATGTTCGACTCCGTTGCCTTGAAATTTTGAACCAATCCAGAAGACAAGGAAACCTATGGATCAGTACCCCCAGAGGTTTTGATTTGTTATGGGAACATGAAGAACTTTGAGACTCGGCTGATTTAACGTGCATCAGTCATCATTTACTACACGGGGAGTCTTCGGCCGGCGAGGATCGAACCCACGATCTTTTGGACATGGGCCCAGTGCCCTACCAACCAGGCTATCCCGGCCTTCTAGGAGGTATTGATTATAAGCTCTTCAAGATTCATTTGTAGTCGTAAACCCAAAAATTGGGTCGACTGTTCAACGGCGGTCATAAAATAAAATAAAAAAAGCTCTTCAAGATTATGTAAATTAAAAACTTTAAATAAGCCGGTGTCTGAGAATATAATCACAGATCGTAGTACAACGCTGAATTATAACATCGATGAAATATCATCAGAATTAGCAACAAACCTCATAAGGTGTTAAATTGAACCACATTCCCATCCAAGTTCAACCATAGGGCTGTGTGATCAAGTTTAAGAAAGATTAAGTTACAAGAAAGGTTCAATTTTGGTATCATACAGAGGTTTTAGTAAACTTGAACAATATTCCACAAACTTGACCAATTCAATGAGATTTAAAAATTCTAAAAGTGTTTTTAAAAGCGACAACCAAAGTTTTTCTTACCATAAGATATTTTCAGTTTGTCCTTGAAAATAAATATTAGAATTCTACTGAGGAATCAAGAATATAATTTCTTTTGGGGAAAACATTTTAATGTCCCAGACTGAGAAGTGAATTCAAGAATACTTATGAGTAAAGTTATTCTCTAAGGGCAAAAGTTACTCTCTGTTTTACCATTTCAGCCCAGAAATTCCGTGATATTGCACTCAATTAGCTTTAAACAAGTAATCGGTTTAGCATTAAGCGAAACATTGATTTATTCAAAATAAAGTTAAAAAAAGCCATATTGGAACTTTATGTTAAAGGTGTTGCGCAGTTAGTTTCGAATGTTTAATCAACGCTAGATAAAAGAAATGTGATTTTGGTATGGTTGTTTTAAGTTTGAAATTTGAAATTCGAAACACTTTCATGTGATTTCGAAATTTTTACGGTTTTTCTTGTTAAGAGGAAATGTTTGAAGTGTACCTTATAAGGAATTTTAATGAATATTTTGGAAAATATGCCTTTATTTTTAAAAAAAAGAAAGCTTCACTGAAATTACAATTGCCTAAACTAACGTATTTATAATTTCCAAAAGTTACTGCATTTGTTCAGGGAAACGTAATAACATTTGTAAAAACAAAAACATTTGATCATGATAAGCATTAAATAGGCATACAATTGAACAAACATACAAAGCGCCTCAAAAATGTTGTGATAAATATTTTGGGGGGGTAGGGTTCTCTATAAGGGTTAAATATTGCATAGCAATTATGACCAGAAATGTTTGAAAAAAGCTGTTGCAGTGATAGGAAATCTAAAACGACAAGAGAATGAAAAACTTTTGTTGACGTCATGGTACAATTGGCGTGTTATATAAATAATGTTATGACAAATGGATGGAGTTTTAAATGTTATGACAAATGGATGGAGCTGCTAATCTATTTAAAATACAAAAACTTTAACTTTTTCATTTTGATAAATAAAGCTCTCAATGTTGGGTGATTCAGCAATTTCACCATTTATGATAATTATTTCGTCACGAAATCTCGTGAATTTTGACGAAACTGTTTCATTACACGTGCGTCATCTCTGTACATTCTCTAAATTTACATTATTCACGTTTCCCCCCCCCTGTTAGGGAATTGATACTGGCCTCTACAGTAACATTCAACTTTTGCAGATTTCTATAGTAACATTCATAATGTACAGGTCTCTACTATAGCACTGAACTATAACTATAACACTGAATTTTTTTACAGTGAATTTTACGCTAAAAGCAGTCTAGACTGATATCAATTAAAAGCCATGGTAGCTTTCTTTTCTATGACGTCACTACAGATTCTCCATTTTTTTTATGTCCCGCAGTGGACTGATCGTTAAGACACGGTTCCCAGCAGATCACCGAAGTCAAGCATCACTGACTGCGGTCAGTGTGCGGGTGGGTGACCACTTGGATCAGTCTGCGTAGGGACCGAGGGTGTGCGGTATTGTTCCTCGTTAAACTGTGCTACCGTAAAGTGCTCGACTTCGCGTGCAGGTCGTTGGGCTACCGAAGCGGGGATGTCATCCCCTCTGCAGAGGATCAAAATTGTGATGGCATGTCTTCGGATCATCCTCAGGGATGTTTCCCAGATCGTCGCCCATAGCCCATTGTGCAGCTCTAGTGCGACGTAAATGAACTATAACAACAACAACAACCATTTTTTTATTATCTGATTTTAAAACTGTAACTGTACAGGCAATTGTGCCCTTGCTGGTTAATCAAGTTTTCAGTACTCCTTTTTTTATTGTCGTTTTTAATAAATTGATTAAAATGATATGTTGCATTAAGTTTAATTCTTTTGATGAAATTTGTATTCTTAAACAAGTAAAATTAGTAATTTCCCCTATTTGACGAAATGTTCATTCGGAGCATTTTCCATGAAACGGTTTTGTGAAAAACCAAGAAATTTCATAAAATTTGAGGATCCGTTTCGGGTATTACTAAAATATTTTATCATACATTCCACTAGCCATATTTCAAAAGGAAAAAATTTAATTTGTGCGTTTTCGTTTTGATTATAATTGCTGTCTCGGATCTATTATTTCGCTGTTAGACTAATTTAATGCCTTTTTTGAATATCGTCTCACGCGACGCGAAATAAGCAAATTAGGTTGCTAAAGTATTATTCGAAAGAAAACTTTCCTCCATACGTAACACATGTCAACTCTCTTTATATAATTGCTTTTTTGTTTCAGTTGAATAACTGTATCATTAAAAGATTTCCGCTATCCAACACTTGCACGTTAAACTACGCATGACTACTTCAATTTATGAGTCAAGTAAATATTAACTTTATTTAAATGCATTTTAATTATTCTTTGATGGTATTGAATATTTATTAGTTTTTAAGCCCTTTAATGCCTGTTGCTTCTTTCAGCGAATGACACTAAAGAGGAATTACAAAGATCATATTTTACACATGAATTTTATATAATTTTTACTAAAATATTAATTTTATAAATGTCAGCATGTATCAAGCTTTTGGCTTAAATTACAGCCTTTTTTTTTAAATTTTCAATTCTGATTTAAAAGTAGTTTTTAAAGCTTTAGTTTAATAATAAATTTTATTAATTTATTTATATTAAATAATATATTCGTAAATATAACTGAAGGAATCTTTGTCCTTTATTTTAAAACAGTTTCAGATCTTGAAAATGTTTCGAAATTTCTCTTAAAATGGGGAATTTCGAATGATACTAATGAGGAATTACAAGGACTATATTTTACACATGAATTTCATATAATTTTTACTAAAATATTAATTTTGTTTAAATTTTATAAAAGTCAGCATGTATTTTAGCTGAAATTACAGACTTTTTTTAAATTTTCAATTCAGATTTAAAAGTAGTTTTTAAATCTCTAGTTTAATAAGAAATTTTATTAATTTACTTATATTAAATAATATATTCGTAAATATAACTAAAAGAATCTTTGTCTTTCATTTCAAAACAGTTTTAGATCTTGAGAATGTTTCGAAATTTCGCTTAAAATGGGGAATTTCGTCATACTGACTGAAATAAATAAGACATATATTATTGTCTTTTATTTATAGCTTAAAATGTTTTTTTCTTGAATATCATTTATGTAAGTAAAAATTTTATAGCGTTTTTCTCTAGACATTTTCATGTTGGAATCCAAAGTTGGAGGGAAAAGACCTTAACCCTTTCGCGCCGACTGTCACAAATACGTGGCAGCATAAAACCGTATCAACCAGGGTAAAAAGATAAAACTGGTAATCAAAGTAATTCTCTAGCAGTTTATTTGTGGGCGGAGTTATAATTGTTTGATTTATTTAATTCACCATTACTTTGTTCAAAATAAAACTATTTAGTTATACTTTGATTTAACATTGATTATATATATGATTAAACTAACGATAATTAAAGTAAAAGCAAAGTAATTCTGTCAAATTAGAAACGACTACATTTAAGTTACCGTTTTTTATTTAATTACGTCCTGATCCTGATTTTGTACGAATGCTTTTCTGAATCCCCCGTCCCCAAGGGGTTAAATAAAGTGATGAGTCTTATAAATTAATATATAGAGTGATTATGAAATAGTATTTAATATTCTGGAAAGCATGCTGCTTAAAAAAGCTTAAAAAATAAAATAAAATTTTGCAAATAAAAAATATGCTCGTGTTTAATTTTTGTCTAACATTGCCAAAAAAATGTGCTGGTGTAACTCCATTTTATTTTTTAATTTGGGAATCAAGTCTCAATTAGGAAAAGGTAGGTGCCATTTAAAATTTTTGAAATCTTTTCCCTTTAACCGTAACTGTAAGTTCTGGATTTAAACTACAATTCTGAGAACAATCTTTATAATGTTTGTCGGGAAAGTTAAAATGGCATGCATACTAGAGTGTCATTCATTAATAAAGTTATTCTACAATCACCTTTAATTTAAATTATCATTTCTAACAATACTATTATTTTGAATTATTTTAAACTCGAATTATTGAAACTGTACGATTACTTTCAATTAATTAATTTGAAAGTAATGGCATTTAAATGCAGCGGTTCTCAACTTTCTTCGGCTACGGAACCCTAAATGAAAGAGGTGAAATATTTTTGGCCAAATCCCAGCATTATAAAGAAAGATTATTAGCAGCTATAAATAAACTAGCTATAAGTAAACTATCTAAAAATGTACTAGTTCTTTCGAAAATACTTAATGTAAAGAATGAAATACTTTGACTTATGAATTTTTTTCTTGTTATTTGCATATGCAAAAAATGAATAAAGCAAGCTGAATTTTGTTTTTTAAAGAAAAACTCTTAAAATCGTTGATAATAGTTATCAGACAAACGTAAGCCTTTTGTACTTTATTTCGAAATTACACAAACATCGTTTTGAAATGAGAAGTTTGGCGAGAAACGCGATAGAACTTTTTTATAAATGCATATTTTTTTCATGATTTACTCAATAAATTTTTATAGAAATTTTTTTAAAATTTTAAATTTTTTTTTTAGAAATTCGCTTTACATAAATAATTCTACTTAAACAACCAAAATATTAAATAAATTAAGGATTATTGATTGAATATAAATATAAATATTAGGGTTTAAAAAATTCTAACTTTCGAAACCCCATAACCTTTCCACGGAACCCTGGGGTTCCGCAAAACAACTTTAGGGAACCACTTTTTCAATATATTTACAAAAGTTTTAAATAATACATGTACAAAATAATATGGTTTAAGTGGCCAGGAGATGAGTTAGAGGTTAAATTTAAAAGCAAACGCTTAATTTCTTAATCTACATAAAATAAAATATAAAACGAAGTAACTGTTTTTTAAAGTTGGCTTGCGAGAAAATATTTGGGAAATGGTTGAAATAGGTATGAGTACAGCCTAATTTGTAGTGCTTTTTTCTTTTAAAGTAACAAAAGTGCAAAAAAAAAGAGAAAAGAAAGAAGAAACAGTGCAATTATGAGTTAAGTAAATAGGAATTCCTCTGCATTTGCATTTCTGTGACATTTCCAAATTTTTTGATTAGAAGCAAGAGTGAGAAGATAATATAAAAATGGCTCAAGTTAACATACAGCTGCATTTAGAATGTTTTGCCAGAAAAAACTTTTTTTTACTATAAAAGGTGAAGCAAAATATCACAGAAAACCACTGAAGTAAAATACAAGTGAATGAATGAAGTAAAGAGGACTATAGCTGTCTTTGAAATATTTTGCCACTTATAAATTCTTTAACAGAAGGAAACAGTAGTGGAAATAACTAAAACAGAAATGAAAATACTTATAAGCAAGAATGTAGAAAATGTTAAGTTTTCATTAATCCCATGATATACTTGACATAAACAACAATACTTCCAAAACAAAACTAAAATTTCACTAACCACAAGTTTTGCAATGAAAATATTTTATTGCCCATTTAAACAAACAATCCAAAAACTGGAAATTCATTTTTATTCCTTAGTTCAATCGAGACGTTAAAAATATCCGAGAAATAATGGTTGGCGATGATGCAAGAAATTATATGGTTCAAATCTCATCATCACGATGATAATATACATTTTACTTTCTATCAGAAATTTAAAGATCGCGAAAATGAAAAAAAAAGAAAATGAAACTCTTTCTGGATCTTTATATGAGTCAGGTCTGGAACTTACGCAATTCAAATATGAAAGTAAATAACCAGATTTTGATTTGTGAGTTGTTCTATTTCTTTGTTTGGCCCCGAAAATGAATTCAATCTATCATCTTCATAAATGAGAAAACAAAAGGTCAAGGATATAAACATTTCAACTCGTAATACTTAACCTGGAAACTATTTTCTCTGCCCACACGGTCAACTATCTGAATATGGAGAATGCATAAGACGTTATTAGAATAATTCCATAATTTATTCAAGAAAATAAATATTATTCGGTGACGTGAAAATTCTTAATTGGTTTATTAACAAATTATAATTTTATTTTTGTAAAAAGCTTGAGACTATAAGAAGCCAAATTACGTATAGCTTTTAAATGTATGGTGCATCGTGATCAAAAGTGATTAAGTCAAATTCTATTAAGTGAATATGATCAACTAGACTTAGATCTTTTATAAATAGCTGTCAAGATTTTCATATAATAAATTTTATAATTTTTTGACCATGTTGATCAATTATAATTAGCTGTGTATATTGATTTGAGATTTAATTTCAAAAAAGTAACTGACGTTTAAAAGTTTTGAGCACTTAATCTTTTTTTTTTGAATGCCAAGTCAATATTAGATTAAATCAGGTCAGAAGACTTATTATACATTATTTAACTTGACTATACCCACGATGTATACCCATTTGATAAGGTGAAAAGGAATAAATTGAATATAGTTTAAAATATTTTTTTTATCGATACCTTTAAAGTTTTAAATTTTTTTAATATTAAGTATTGGTTGAAGCACTCCTTTAAATATGTATATAAAAATTGGGCATGCAGCTTCATCAGATAGAGTTAAAGACACTCAAGACTGGTCCAAAATCCATTTTTGAAACTTATTTTAACGGCACAAGAACTGCCACCTTATTCCCCAGATTTGAATTTAACGAATTTTCCATTTGCTCAATCGATGACAAGGTATTTTGATAAACCTCATAAGATTTTATCATTTCTAATAAATCCTTGCGCTAGAAATAGGACAAAATATCAGTGGATGAATTACGGCTCCTATAGCAAGAAATTTAGTGACGCGTTTGCAACTGAACTTTAACGCCAAAGTTGTTTAATGTTATTATTTAATTTTGTTGATTACAATTCAATTTTATTTCGCATTATTTACTAAAGTTTTTTTAATTTCGTTAGAGGTAGCAATATTTTTAATTTTAGTTTGAAAGTTTAGCTTTGATATTTCACTGAGCAATGAAATTATAGAGTGCATACCTCCAATTATTTCTTGTCACATTCTTTCAACAATGACTAAACTAATTTTATTACACATTGTGTAGTCTTATTTAATTATGATCACTATCCATACAATTCAGTTACTGGCAAAAAATGAAACTCATTATTAATGTTTATGAAAGAAAAATTATTTCATTGTTTTAAATTCAAAATTTCTTCACAATACAAAAACTTAAGCTGTAAGGTATACACAGGCAAGTTGTTCGATTTGAATACCAGGATGATAAGTAGTTCAGTTTCAAAACTGAATTTTAAAATCCTTGCAATTTTTTTAAAATCAAAATGCATTTTATTTTGGAATTTTTTTAAAAATTAAATGCAAATTTTCTCAGTTGAATTTAAATTTCTAAGAAAAGGAATATAGGAAAAGAATTTAGAAATTAAAATATATGCTCATATATTTTTAAATTTAATGTGTCCTCTAAGTTTAAAAATTCATTTAGAATAAACATTATTCTAAAATATGAATAGTTCAGATATAAATATTTATGAAATTATTATTTTTATAAATAAAAATTACGTGTAATTTACCTCTAATTTTTTTTAACATTTGCATACTCGAGATTTTGAATGGCAAAAAACAGGTTTTAGTTAAAAATATGTTAATTGTAGCAGAGAAAAAAACTGAAAGTAAAAAGTAAAGTAATAGTTTTAAATAATAGTTTTTTTAGTTTTTAAAGTAATAGTTTTTTAGGCCAACAGAAAAAAAAACTGAAAGTAATAGTTTTTTTTTATGAGCATAGCAAAAAAGCTTACTATGAACCTCTATACGTTCCATATTATTATGCATGTTGCGCAAAAATTAAAAAAAAAAAACAAAAAAAAAAAAACGTACGCTGTCAAAATATTTTTATTATGCAATAATTATATTCAATTAAATAAAATTTAAATGGCGAAGTTTACTATCAATTTTTTATATTTAATGAATCTCTAAAACATAACATTAAATTGAATTAAAACTAGAATAAAAAATAAAAAAAGAAATGAATCAGAAATAAAAAAGAGAAAAATAAGTAGTTAATGTATTAGAAATAAATAATGTTATATAGTATTGCGAATTATTATACTTTCAATTTCAATGAGAGTTAAAAAAGATTTGAACTCGAGAGGTCATGAGAGAAAGCTAAAAAAGGACAAGGACTAGTGAACAAGCCTGGGTATTTCCCGTTTATCCTCAAGGCATCGACGATATGACCGACATTCAATTATGTATTAATACTACAGACGGCGGGGTCACGGTAAGCCCTACAGCTTTTTAGCCCGCGTCATTTCGATTACTTATAATAAAATGCATTATTAGTTTTTTTTAAAAATTTTTCATAAATTAAATCCGCCCTTAATGTATATTTTATTAATACATAATTGGTAATGAATTCCGTCATAATATGTAAGGATAATCTTTGAGAACACTGTTAAAATTTTCATTCTAAAATTATGGTAAAATAACTGGCAGCTGTCTGTCCATCCGATTAACCGTAAAGTTTACGGTAAAGAACATTTTTTTCCTTTATGGTTTTGATACCATTTACCAAAAGTATGGTTATAAAACCATGAATACAAAACTGAACGGTTTTTTAACCATTTACAACTAGCGTTTTCAAAAACAGAAAAAAAATAGAATTATTTAACTAGACATACTAGCTCGGCTTTTAGCAAGGTAAGGAGAGTGCCGGACACTATAAATTCTTTATGTTTTAAAGGGAATGGAGGAAATATTGTGGTGTCAACACTAGGACTCGAACTCCAGTTCAGCCACTCATGAGATTGACAGATAAGCCAGCTCGGTTATGATATGTACACAGTAGCTTTATTAGGTGGTTCTAGTAGGCGCGATAAGATTCTGGTTGTTTAACCGTATTAGGTGAAAGCAGTTAATAAAGAGTTTTTCTCAAACTCAAAAGTTTGAATACCATTTTATTTATGGTTATTTGACTGTTTTGATTAAATATGGTAAAATAACCATTCAATAAATTGTTATTTAACTATTTTTTCCAAGAAATTTCTAACAGTGAAGAGTATGTAGTTGTGGTTGCATGAATAATTCTTATTTTAACCTTGTGATTCAAAACGTACAAAAAAGGTGTCTTTGAGGTTGAGATGTATAAAAAAGTACACCTAAGGTAGTAGAAAATGAGGTTATGTTTTACACCAAAAGAACCTTCGTCAATAAACACCTTCGTCAATAAACGTCAATTTCAACTTCATTTACACCTCATAAAATCAACCTCATAAATAACTCAGCAATACTTTTAGTTGAAACCGAGCGAAATTATTCACGCTTCAAATATATTTATTGGTATTGTTTCCAGATAGGAACTTTTTAAAAGCTTCCCAAATTCATGATTATAAACTAATTTATAATTATAAAACTGTTTAGTTTTTTCTTTTAAATTTCCCGTGTAGTAACACGATAAATGCACGATATACGGCAACAGCACAATTTATAGAAAGGTCTAATTTAAAAACCTTTGAGCAACAGCACGTTGTGAGATGGGAGACTCATGGAGGTTAAAACTTCAGAATTTCAAGTCCCGATTGTGACACCAGAATTCTGCACAATGTCGCTTTTAATTTTCAAACAGGCTGGTACTCATCAATCTGAGGCTGGTTTGTCTTCAAGTCGTTTCTGTGGATCGAACCCCAATACTTCACAATTTCAACTCGGTTCCTTTAACCACTGAACCTGAGGGGATTTAATTATAGACTATGTCAACCTTTAATGTGGCGTAACTACCACTATAAATATTAAATACCAATTCACTAGTATATAAGACATGTTAACTTGATTCTATCACGAGGTACCTTTTAATAGATGAAGGTTGAAACCAAAAGGTACCTCTAGATAGAATCGAGTTAACATGCGTTATATACTAGTGATTTGGTATTTAATATTTGTAGTGGTAGTTATGCTACAAGCCATTGTGGCTCAGAAACACTTTATTTCTTGCGCGACTTTTCATGGTTCTTTTTTTTTCAAAAACGATAATCCTACTTTTTTTTTAAAACTATACACTGGTATTTTTTTATTATTGATAAAACAAAACTATAAATGTTCTTGCACTTTTGATAAGACAGGAATTCCATTTTTTTGTCAAAAATATGTCTTTACAAATACTTCCTTTTCTCACAATCATTACGACTTATACACTTGTCACAAGAAAAAAGGACAGAATCAGACTCTTTCCTTAGGTACCAAAGGAGAAAACCACCAAGATCTTGAAATGCTTTTTTTCAGTTTCCTCAAACGAGCCAACCGAAGCGAAATGCATAAACAAAAAGACAACAGGCAACTCAGAAGAAAGTTCAATGATCCGACAGACGATATTGCTTCTGACAAGAAATTGCTGATCTGACCACAAAAACAACCGTTATGCTTTTTCTGTCAGATGCATCGAAGTGGCAAACGTGTTCTAAATAAACCCCATTCCCTATAGAAAATGGGTTTATTAGAGTGAATTATAAATACCTATTTTCTAGTATCTTTCTGTATTGTTGATAGATTGAAAAGATGTCTTTAAAAAGCAACTATTAATGGAAAAAAATATGTTTGAAGCTGTATGAGATAAACAATTAGAATTTCAAGCTCTAATTATATGAGATGGGTGATGAAAGGTTTTGAATAATAAAGGAGTTAAATAAATTTTTTGTTTCTTCCTTTAAATTTCCCATTTATTTTTTTCGCCTCCTGTCTTAATTGAATGGAAGTTATAGTTGTTTGAAGTTATAAGTCTTACGTTGAAATCAAGAAATTTAAAGTTAACTGCAACATTCTGAGCAACAAAGAAGCTTGGGTATTAAACGATATGTGTGTATATTGTCGACAAACCATGCCTAATTAAACGATAATAAAAGTTTTTTTGCAATTGCTAAAATTACTAATAGCGCAGCTTTAGTTATTTCCTTGAATGAAATGAAAAGTAATTTTAACAACTGAAAAATGCTATTGAAATGGCTTGGCCAATTTCAATAGCATTTTTCAGTTGTTAAAATTACTGGAAGATTTAACGTGTTGGTTGCAACAACATGTTAAATTTTCCATTCTTTTTCACACTGAGAAAAAATATGTCAAATTACCAGAATGTGGTAAAATTTACCGCATTTCTGGGTCTATGGGAACACCAAAAAGCTCATAATTTTTACCCAAGCGCTATGGTAAGATTTTTGTAAAATCAACAATGAAATATGGCTTATCATAGGTGATACATTTTGGTAAATGTGGTAAAATTTGGTAATTTTATCATGATACGTTAGAGCAGTGGTTCTTAACCTTTTTTAGCCGCGACCCAAATTTGAGAAATATGTTCATGTCGCGACCCAAAAAAAAGTCAAAATTAGGCTGAGTAAGCCACAATAACTTCGTCCAGGAGTTTTGTTATTTGGTGTCTTACTAACTTTTTTGGTTCGACTCAGCGCGACCCAAGAAATATGCTTCGCGACCCAATTTTGGGTCGCGACCCATAGGTTAAGAACCGCTGCGTTAGAGCATAGCTGAAAAACAGCTTTAAGGTTAAATTTATTTTTCAGGTTTGTATTTGTTACTTAAGGTGTAGTCCTAAGAAGTACAATTTTGAAAACTAGAATTTCTGATGAACTGTTTATATTACTAAAGGAGAATTACTAAATGAATGGTTTCAATAACAGGTATTTAGGTTTTATTAACTAGAACTCTGTTTTTTATTGTTATTTTTTTACTAGAAATACTATTACCATACAGTACGATAACTTTAGAATTTTTTTTTCTACGTACACGTATTTCAGTTGATTAAACAAATTGGTACTCAAATATTTTATGAAAAAAAATTCCACTTGCACTAAACAAATAAAATTTGAATATTTTCGTTTACTTTCATTTTTTTTAATGCTTCACCAAATTACATTTTATTGAAAGTACAAATCATTTAGAATAGTACAAAAGGATTTTTTTTACTAAATATTTTTTACATTTAACATTTATTTCTCCTTTAACACAATTTAATTTAACTTTTCTATCCTTGTATTTTTACTGTTTTCATCAAACATAACATTAATTTCATTAAATTTTACTCAACACAAAATGCAGATTTTAAAAATAATTATGTATATTTAATTATTTTAAGTATCTTTTTTGCCAATGCTCTTTTTTTACTGAGAATTCACTTACTTACTCTTTATTTAAGGTTTAAGAATCGGATAAAAATTTGGTAGCGTGCTGTAAGAACGCATATGTCGATGCTATCAGTGAAATGTAAGACAACAATCTAAACTTTCCCTGTAGGCGATTAAGGTGTGAATAGTCTCTTAACACCCATGTTACGATTAGAAACAACCTGTTTTTCTTTATTGTATGCATTGAAGAGAAACATTTCATAAAAAACGTAAAAAAAGAAAAAAAAAAACACTGTGAGTTCCAGTTGCAAGCTTCCAGACAAGTAAAAATAATGATCAATAATCATAATCTCGATGTAAATCTATAAAAAGATATTTTGATTTTCTAAATGTATCACTCGCTTCAAAACAAAGTGTGATATTTCCTCTTTTAACAAAAAATCACTCTTACTGGGTATATGAAATGAAAAACAGCTTTTTATAGACTGTGAAAAGTGTTGTTTTGGAATTATCACCCATTAAATCGTCCGTTTTCATAAAGATGAAAATTATTTTTCCATACCATAAGATGTTTTTGATGTTTTTTTCCTAATGTTTTGTATCTAATTTTCAGATTTATTTCAGTTACAAGCTATTATTAAATTTAGTTACCTTCCTTAACAGTTAAATGTATATCGTACGCTACCGACAGACAGTTCGTAAATGTGTTTTTTTTTATACAACGTTCATTCCCAAAGTGTCAAAAATTTATTTTTAAGCATAAAAATACATTTTAATTCAGACGAAATAAATTTAAAACCCTCGTCAAATATAAATGAAACTGTAAAATATGTTTGATACAATTGTTTTAAAAATCGTAATTTATATTATTTCTAATTTTTTCTTCGAAATTTCAGTTAAGTTTTAGTGAAACATTTTAAGCCTTTCTTTTGAGCCGAAAATTCTTCTTCGTACTCTCAAATACATTTAGAAACTTTAGTTTACTAAGCAAGTTAGCAAAGTTACGGCAATTTACAATTCCAAACTCTTCGTTCGTTAAAAAAACAAGGACTTTGAAACTTTCATAATTTTGAAAATTTATGTCACAAGCAAAAGTATTTCTAAAGGGCTATACAATTGTCTTGGTACAGGATTTCATGGCTTAAAAAGAATAGTTTAAAATTAATTCCTATGCTGTTAATACAGAAAAGGAAAACTATTAATGTTCATATTTGATTCAAACCAAAGCATTTAATAATATTTTTTGACTTTCTCCTTGTTGGGCATTTGCAACTAGATGATGATTGGGTCTAATCACGTGGTTGTGCATGGCGTGTTTAAAGTTACATATTTTATGTGGGTTATCGCGATTGATAAATTTCTGGATCAGATTTAATTGGAAGTGACGTTACGTATGTTTACGTCGAACTTGATTGGATCACCCACGCGTGCAACCGTATTGAGCTCGCTTGTTAACCAGAGTATTCGTCTTTTAGTTCATTGTCACCATTTTAAAAATGAGCGTCACATTAAAATCCCTTTAGTTTAGGGTATATCAAGTAGCAGTGCACATAAATTACATTGTCAACAGGAAGTTTTTCTACAAATATTGTTTTAAAGCAATTTGAATACATGTTTATAAATATTATTTTTACAATAATGTTGACTTTCCTATTCCTTTATTTTTTATTGGACATCTATTTTTGTGTTAAATTTTATCGATTTTGCTAACTGCAGTAGAAAGGGAATTTCGCACACCTGTTAAACTTTTTGTTAAGCTTGTTATCTGCAGCTTCAGTTATAAAATTTAAATGACGATATCGATGTTAATTTATCACCAAGCATATGTTATCACAATACTGATATTATGTAAATTTTCTAATCTGAGAGAGAGGTAATATTAAGATAATATTAAGGTAATATTCTCTCAGCAGAATGATTACAATGCTTGATGATCACAAATCAATGTATTTAAAAGTTTATAAACTGTTTCCCTATTCTAAATTTCTTGACCTTGATTCATATTTCAGAATAAGTGCTTACTCCAATCAATTGACAGACTCAGATCGGTATTGAGTACTTCTCAGATCAATAAATTTAGCTAACTGATAATAGAAGGAATATTTTCTCACATGACTTTCATTTTAGGCCGCAAAAATGGCTAATTGGTATTACATTTCCTAATAGGTAGATTAAATTCAGTGTCTCAGCATACACATTATAAGTCATTCCATAATTAGATACTTTCATACATTTCTGAATCCAAGGTAATATTTACTAATTAGAATGATTGCAATGTTTGATGATCATAAATCTATTTAAATGTTTATAAACTGAATCCCATTTCTTGTGTTCTTGGGCTTGATTCATGTTCCCGAACAGGGTTTTTCTCGGATTTATAAATTTAGCTAACTAATAATGAAAGGTTTATTTTCCCCCATAACTTAGGTTATTTTAGGCCGCAAAAATTTTAATTGGTATAACATTTCTTTATAGGTAGAAAAGCAAATCACCAAAACTTATATCTCAAAAATATTTCCAAATGTAATCAAAATTATTTCAGATTCTATTTTGTAAAAAATTATTTGTTCAAAAACTTATTATTCTATTAAATAGAAAAGACTAGAAGAATTACAATTCATACTTTACTTGAATCATAAGTGTTTATTGTCATTTTTTGGGAGCTCTAAAATAGCATCCTAAACTTACAGGAATTATTCCGACATACATTTTTAATACATTATTTTTAAGCATTCTTTTCTTTTAAACTTGGAACTGTGTGTCAAGCACGTATCAAGTATTTTGCTTCTAATGTATCCCTTACTGTTTACAGATCTTTTTTGTCTGCCCGCGTAATTTGTGGTGCTTCTTGTCGAGTGTGGCTCGAGGCCTTGTGCCTAAGGCTCTGCATTGCTTGGCGGTCATGATGGGGGGGGGGGCTTCTCGCGACGAGAGATCTCGCGAATAGACCTGGGTCACCGTAATAGATACCTTATAATGTTCCCCTTTTTAATTTCAAGAAAATGAATTAAAAGTAGTTTTTCTAATATTCGTAAAATGATGAGCGCTACGTTTGTAAATAATTAATGACTTGTATTGAGTAAATACAGTTCTAAAAGAACTGTTTTTGTTTTAAGCGTACATAGTTTTAGATTTTGATAGTTTCTTGACATTTTAATTGTATGACTCAAAAGTTTTTACATTTTAATTGCATGACTAGGAATTTTTTACTATATTCAAGAGTTTTTAAGGCATTTTTATTAATATACAAAATAGCATTCTGTTTGGTTTATGTAGGGCCTCTTAATTTAATAATAAATCAAAACTATTGAGTTTCAAAAATATTTTACATTCAGTTTATCCAATTCAGTTTCCACGTTTTGAATAGATGTTGGATAGTTCCTGATAGCAAAATTACGGCTTTCATAAAAATTATAAATTTGTTAAATCTGTCATTGGAATTCTTAATGTTAATTTACCTTCTTCTAAAGTAATATAGATATATTTTCCAAGATACATTCCTTAATCAATTATGAGTACTAGCTAATTGACACGTTTTAAACTAAAATATGCAAGTTCACAATTTATAAATATTGTTACTTAGTATATATAGTCGAAATATTTCCAGTTAATATTGCGTTTACTCTATACGAGCCAAAAATACTTTTTCACTAAACTTGAGCAAAAAACTTGAATAAGTATTATTTATTTGGAAATTGTTTACTTGAAAAATGTTTGTGCTTAAAATAAAACAAAAACAAGAATAAAAAGGAAAAGCTTTGTTTACGTAGAATGACGAAATTGAAACTTCATTCTTAGAAATAGTATTCAATTCTTTGTCAAAAATGTCCTAACAAAATTATGTGATGAATAGCATCCTCTCTACTTTGAATAAAGAAAATAAGTAATAGTATTATTTTAAATAAAACATCAGTTTGCTTGATTAATATTTAAAACATCAATTTGTCATAAAAATTTCTTTGTAAATCTTACGTAACAGTGATAAGAAAAACAAGTGGAATCAGTTACTATATTTATTTACGAAGAAGATTTTTAATTGCAGATTTTAAATATTTCGAAACTATAAAAATGAGGAATTAAGCAAGATTTAAAAAATGCAAAAATCAATGAAATTAAAGAAAAGGTAAAAACGATCTGATAAAAGATTTCATTGAATGTTCTATGGATTTATGTTTAAGAGGTTTTTCAATAAATATGTGAGTTCGTGTTACCTAATAAAAATTAAGACACTCGTGTTACAAAATAAAATAATAAAAATTAAGTTAATGTGACAAAATATTAATAAAAATTAAGTTATATAAATTTTTTAATAATTAATAATAACAAAACATTTATGCTAATTATTTTATTTAAAAAATAACAGGAATTATTCAAATTGGTAATTTTTCTTCTTTTTATTTCTCAAAAGACATCCTATCATTTGTTCCAAATCTTTTGACTAGAAAATTTTTTTCAATATAAGTTCTGTTTTTTTTCTCCAAATATTTTTAATAAATTCATAAATTATAAAATAAATTATTAAATAATTATATAAAAATAATTATATAAATATAAATTATGTAATAAATTATTTGAAATTATTTAATAAATTCATAAATTATATTTAATAAATTAACTTAATTTATCTTTTAAAAAATGAAAAGTCATTTTATTAAAATGTTTTTTTTTTTAATTGCGTCAAAAGCTTATCAATTAAAAACAAATAATTTTACAAAATGCATAGAAAGATGTTATACAAGATATCTATTGTTATAGTTTATTTCAATAAAATTTTTTTTTTTAGAGAAAATTAAGTCAAAAAAGCTATTTTTTTAATTTTCGTTTCAAATTCCATTTTATCAAATAGAGATGAGTTTAAATTCAATAAACATGAAATTTGTTTTTAAGAAAACGCATTTTTTCTATCAAGTAAATACTGTTAAAATGTTTATTTAAAATAGTATTTTTGTTTGCAAACATACTTTCTAGACTTGAGCTAAGTTATAAATACAAATATGTGGTTATGAATATTTTATTTAAAACAATACGCTGAAAATAAATGGAATGCGGAAAGCTCTATTTAATCTAAAGTTCTAAAGAAAGTTCTAAATAAATTTGTATACAGTTTTTTCTCTTGCTTTAATTTTGTCAAGAAATTTTTTTAAATAATATTAATAATAATATAAATTATTGGCACGAAAGGAATTTAGTAGTTTTATTTTTTTAGTTGTTTTAATTGCTTTTTTAATATTTTATCAATCATATGTAAACTCTAACTATATTTTATATTTTATTTAATCAGATAGTAAATAAATTAAAAAAATCCTGAAACTCATATTATGATTAATGAATAAAAAAAATTTACACATTTGTAGGTTAAAAATCCCCTATCTCTCCTTCTCAATCTCTTAGCTGTATACCAACAATACTGCCGCAAATATTTATTTTAAATGAATAAAAAAGTTTATTAAAAAAATTCTAAAAATTGTTAGTTAAAAATAAATGAAAAGGTATTAGTTACTTTATATTTAAAAAAAAATATGAAAATTGAATATAAGTTAAACTTACCACAAGAATGAAAGTCCCTAGAAATTCCGCCAAAGCTTCTCTCATTACATCGCTTTTGAGCTTCATGGTATTCAGTTTATCATTGAGCTTCTTCACTTTTGAGTGAACCGCTACAGCAAGAAAAGGCATAATTCACTATCTCATGTACAAAAAATATCGATGATAAAAATAAAGGAGTTATCTTAGGTTTCTAATCGGAATCGTTTTAAGAGAAAGATGCGCGCACTTCAAGTAGATAGAAGAAAGGAGATTGTATGAGTGAATTCCGAATTTGATCCTTGCTATCTTTTTTCCCCTCTCAGAATCAGATCACTTGGTCAAAATGATGCCCTAACTTTCATAGATGAGATCAGCGCCATCTCGTGTGTTCTTTTTAGATTTATATGTACTTTTAATAACATAATTTAGGTAATTAGCATAGAAATTTACTTTGTGCCGGTTGACCTGGCAGCTTGGAGATAGTTAAACTTTTTGGAAATACTCATTTTTTAATACTATTCTCTCTTAATCTTAAAGTATAAGGAAACTCTACATTCTTTTTGTTTGTGGTGAATATGTTAAAATCAGCATGTGAGATTTGCTTAACACATGAAACATTACTGTGGAATAATTTTATAACCCAAAAAATATTGATATATTAAAACGAAAAATGCTACTTTAAAGTGACCATGAATAACAATGAGTTGCAATGATAATATTAAACAAACAATACTACACTGTAAAAAATTCCAAATCAAATTACCGTAAAAAGTACCGGCACTCAATGTGCTAGTAATTTTTACCGTAAAATCTATTTTTACCAGAATATGTTACTGAACAAAAAATACCTTATTGTTTTCAGTAATAATTACAGTAAAATTACTGAATTCCTCTAATTAAATAAATATTACTGTAAAATTTGGAGAATAATATTTTACGATAAAAATGAATTTTGAGGTATAATATTTCACGGGAAAAATGGATTTTACTGTAAAATGGATTTTATGGAAAATGCTCCTTAATTGCAGGTACTTATACCACTTTGTACCAAAATTTGACCCGGAATTTTTTACAGTATATGAATGACGAATTTTTGAAGTAATTTTTTATATTTAATTTTTAACTCATTTCAATACTATATAGAACACATTAAAAAAGCTTTTTGGGATAGTCTATATGCGTTGTGTTGCATGATTGTGCTCGAAAATATTATTTTAAAGTTAAAAATAGTTGTATGAAAATGAAATTTTCGGAATCGTATTTTAATTTTTAATTAAGCTTTTTTATTTTTTTAAGTAAAATGAAGATCGTTCATTATATACATACGTTTTTTCGTTCACTATATACATGTCTTAGTGCTGTTCAAAAATGGTACTTTAAAGCGAGGAAAAAAATTGCTCAGATTTTAAGCAGTTTTTTTCCTCGCTTTATAGAATCAGCATTTATAGAATAGCTTGCTTAGATTTTGAGCAAGCTATTCTATAAATGCTGAGTTTTTTAATTTATATTATAACCGTTTTTTAATTTATATTGAAAATTTTTAAATAAAAGGAAAATATATAAAAGAAAGTTTTTATTCTACATGCTATTTACCTTATGTTATTTTGAATTATACCTTAAAGGGAGGAAAAGGTTTCAGTTATCAGTAAATGACTCTATAAATGGTGAATTTTCTGAATCAAATTTTTCTTTTTTGACTGAAAGTATGTTAAATAACTAATAAGATTTTACTTTAGATTAACGCAAAACATATTAAATAACTTTTTGAAAGTATCCAAGCCTAGTTGCAATGGATTTCTCATAGAAAATAGTTTGGTATTAAAATTTAACATTAATCGATAGCAAACTTAATAAAAATCTTATACTTAACGAATGTTGGAGTTTTTAATGTTCATATAATTATAAGGTTTATAGAAAAGAAATTTACAAAGATTTGAGATAATCACAGGTATAAATAAGAAAATCAGTTAAAAATTAAATGATTTAAAAGTTTTTAAAATTAAATAGACTGCGCAATGAATTTGAAAATATGACGTCTAGGGAATAGACTGCATGATTACTGTAAAAGCTTTAAACATATCTATAATTAATAAATGAGATTAATGTAATTAATATAACTAATTAATATAATTAATTAATGTAACTAATTAATATAATTAATTAATATAAGGAATTAATATAATTAATTAATAAACTTTTAATATTATATAATTTAAATATTTCATTGTCAAAGTAATTGGAAACAAGTTTGATGTTAGCCCGATTTCAAATTTAAGAGATTTTCCTTTTTCTTAAGGTACTTTAATTTAATTTCTTTTTTTAAAGGTACTTTAATAAAAAAGGAAAGGCAACTTAAATTTCATAATTAAGAGAAATAATGTGATTTTTAAATTTATGTCCACATAAACGTTAGAAAATGCTACTAAAATAATTTGGGGATATTTAAAATTCATAAATGAAAAATGTAAAAAGGAATTTTAATTTACGAATAGAGAACAGAAACAATAGATATTTTTCTTTTATAAAAAAAATACATTTAAGTTATTATATTTTGTAGAAGAAATTGATTAGTTTTATTTCTTAAAAATCAGCCCCAGTCTACCAATCCCAGTCTAATTATTTCAGAATATAAAGATTGTGCAGATTATAATTCAGATTACGAGGATCGTAAGGATTTCAGATTATAAGCAATCCGTGACGAGAAATCTCATCCTACCTTGCTATGGTTGCCTCCTAGTTATGAACTGGCTGTTCGTGCATATTTGAAACAATATTTTTATTCAGATAAATAATTTAAATTTTATGAGAATTTCATGTTTTTAAGTACTTATTGTTTATAATTACATGCAAATAGTTATTCCTGGGCCTATTACTGATAGGGACTAAATCAGTATACAAAATCAGCTCTGAAGAAATGTGAGTTTAAAACAATTGCCAATTTAAAAAAAAAATGTAAATTATAAGACCATAGGACTGAAGTAAAATATTACTACTCAATCAATTTTAAAAGTTACATGTATATTTGTGATCAGTTCATTAGCGCATAGTTATTGAAGTTTTTTAGTTTTATTGAATTACAAAATATTTACCACTGAAAATGGACAGCATGTTTGGTGATTAGTCCCAAATTATGTTGCGCGATTGCTTTTTTTTGCAACTTAAACTCTGAAATACAGCACGATTTGAAAATCACGCAAAAGAGAAACTATTTCAGACTTATATCTATATAGACTTATCTTTATAGACTTATATCTATATAGACTTATATCTATATAGACTTATATAAGATATAAGCCCGAAATTAAGCATAATTGCACAGAGAAAATAAACTTTCTGGTAAAATAACTGCACTGCATGTTAACAACAAAAAATATAGTTCTATATACTATTAAAAAATATAGTTCTGATCATTAAAACCAAACTATACGGTATTTAAATCATTCATTAGGTAATTTTTCCGTTGTCATGGTAACGGCTTACCGGAAGTTCAGGTTTTTAAGTTTATAGCTCGTATTACCACACATTTAGTAAAAAATATAAAACTGAAAAGTAAATTTAATTGAATAAATGGTTCTTATGCCATGATCTATGGTATCACAATAAAAGTACCAAGTTTTACCACATTTAGTAAATATTATTGCATACCATAAAGCCATATTTCATTGTTAATTTTAACAAAATCATCCCCAATCATTACCATTTAACCAAAATCAATACCAAAGTGCTTTGGTAAAAATTACCGAACTGAGTGGTCTCTTAGAGCCAGAAACATGGTAAATTTTACCATTTTCTGGTATTTTTGACCATACTTTTTTTCTCACCGAACTTATATCTGTATTATACCACTCAAAAAATTTATATATCCGGCTAATTGGACATTTAAACATTTCAAATAAAAAAATGAGCTTTCAGAACAAATATGCCACAAGTTTGTAAGATATTTAATTTGTAAGTAAAGTACAGCAGAATGAAAATAATGCCATCAATATACTGACGCAATCAAAATCTGTCCTTCAATTCAATAGTAGCATATTCACATTCAGTTTAGTAATGTTATCAATTATTTCAATATTTTTCCATAAACTTCTCCCTTTTGAGAAAAAAAAAGACTTTAGCTCAACAATAGTATAAAGGTTAGAAAAATACATAATATATGTAGATGTTTTTATTATTATTTGTTTCCGTAATATTTTCACCTGTTTTGGTTAGATAATCACACGAAGTTATTAGTAAATGGTTCATTTTGTATAATCTCCACTGACCCTTAACAGAGGTCTAGTCGTAAGTTGGATGACATCAGTAGAGTCAAGGTGTTTTTTCATAAGAACGGTCAAAAGGATGGCCGGTAAACTTTAGGGTCAATGATTAGGTACGTAATTTGTTCTTCGAAAAAAAACCTCAGAACTAGTTCGATTATGTTAGCATCTTTAAAAAAATTACTAATACATGAAGAAAAAAATCAATTGAAGAGAACCATTCCTTTAATCGTTTGATTGGTTTAAAATTTTATCTGAACTAGGCATTTCTTTTATTGTTTATACGAAAAATATCATAAATTAAAAGATTTGTTAAAGATGAAACAATGTAAAAACAGTTGCATATGAATTTTTTTTTCGTTTCGTTTTTTTCTGCATGCTTGTTAAAATTGTATTTTGGGGTGAAAAATTATATCTTTGAAAATATACTTAGTTTAATCATTTCTATATTAATATATATATATTAATTTTAGCAAAGATAAAGACATAAATATGCCAAACTTATCAAAGAAGAGAATTTATCTCACTTTGCTTTCTTAAAATAAATTCGGTCAAGAAAGCTTTTTTCATTTCCAAACAATATCATGCAGATGACCATCAATTACAACTGACGGATGGTAGCAAACAAATTGAAATTCGTGTGATAGGTCAAACATATCTTTTATTATTCGGCAATATATAACCAAATATTAACAGCGATAACAGAAAGAATAGTAAAAATATAATTTCACTATTGCAAATGTTATTAACTTACTATCAGTTGCAACAGTACAACAAATAAAGTAATCATTATAAAACTATTTTTAAACTGGAATTTTTTGGCAGTTGAATAATCCAACTAAAAGTTTGAACAATAGAAAAAAATCGAATTTTAAAATAACTTCATATTAAAAAATATTATTTCAACAGAGCAATTGTTTTCTCTTTTTCACAACATTGTTTCAAAAACTCATAAATGAGATATTTAATTATAATATGTCATAGTGATGTTTTTAATAGTGTGTAGTTATATGTAATTTATTAGATTTCATTAAATCTAATATAATTAGCTCAGTGATTCTGCGCAAGCTCTATCTTTCATGTTTTTGAAAATTGATTTCCACAGAATTTTTTGCAGTTATTTTCTTTTTTTATTTATTTACATAATTTTAAAAAATTACTAAATATTTTTCTCGTACTTTGAAACAGTCATAATAACAATACTCAAGTAATTTTAACTGAGAGAATATCGTAGTAGAGTGAAATTCCTCCAGGAAAGACCACCTCTAGGTAGCGACCTCTTCTATTTACGACTATTTTTAGGAAGGCACGTAATTTATTTTTATGGACTTTGCGTTGAAAAAAAAACTCTAAAGAGATTATTAAAACCCCTCCAAGTGACCGGGCAAAACTCAGCACCAAATGCGGAAAAAAGTCGCGTAAAGAAGCACGAAAAAATATCAAAACAAAAATATGAACAAAACAAATAAGTAGATTAAAAATGTCTTCAAAATAGAGTGAGGCTCTTATTTAGAGAGCTCTTTTTGACGATACAACCTCATGTTGATGTCAGAGTGCTCTAAAGACGATTCTTTCTACAATTTATTTTTAGAGTTGAAAGTTAAATTGAAAAAAAAAGTTATTTTGGAAAAAACTATGCATCTCAGACATACAAGCCTCCTCTTATCTTTTAAAGTTAACTAATTTTTATGATATAAAATTAATTGCAAACTTAAATTAGAAACATAATTGTTTATTTATTTAAAATAATTCTATCATTCATAATTGGTAAATTTGCTTTCACATATAATTATATCAGTAAGGATCATTTTTATTGAGGCTAAATTTTATTCATCGATTTGGTTTCTTGATGCCAACACAAGTGGTATTTCCTCCCCCAGAAAATGCCATTGACTAAAATTAAAGTCGTTTGCGAAAAATCATGTTGTTGTTGTTGTTAATTTACGTCGCACTAGAGCTGCACAATGGGCTATTGGCGACGGTCATCACAATTTTGATCCTCTGCAGAGGGGATGGCACCCCCGCTTCGGTAGCCCGACGACCTGCACACGAAGTCGAGCACTTCACGGTAGAACAGTTTAACGAGGACCAATACCGCACACCCTCGGTCCCTACGCAGGCTGATCCAAGTGGTCACCCACCCGCACACAGTGATGCTTGACTTCGGTGATCTGCTGGGAACCGTGTCTTAACGATCAGTCCACTGCGGGACGCGAAAAATCATGTACCTTCGATAACATTTTGAAGTCAGTAGAGGTAACCCCCAAGAACGACCAACCTCCATTAATTACCATTTTACTGTGGAGCAGAGAGGGTTCACTCCCGAGAAGTTTCACTGCATATTTAGAGAAAGAGAATTGATACTTTTCAAACATTTTCAAATAAATTTTTTTAAGTAATGATTTAATAATAATAAAAAAGAAACAGAAGAAATATATTAATTTTTTAAAAATTAGTTTCAGGAAGCTCTAGTTGCTTGGTTTTATGCAACAGCGGGTATTATAAATTATTTTTAAACTATTACCAAATTACCGTCTACTTACTACTAATAAGGTAACATAAATTTTTATAAACCTTGCGTATGCAAATTTTGTTTCATACATGTGAACCAGGCAATTATTAGTAAGTCCAATTATTATAATGATACACTGTTAAAATTTTTATTCTAAAATTATGGTAAAATAACTGGCAGCCGCCTGTCCATCCGATTAACCATAAAGTTTACGGTAAAGAATATTTTTTTCCTTTATGGTTTTGAAACCATTTATAAAAAGTACGGTTATAAAACAAGGAATACAAAACTATGCTGTTTTTTAACCATTTACAACTAGCATTTTTCAGAAACGTAAAAATAAAATTAATTATTTAACTAGACAAAGGAGCTCGGCTTTTCGTAAGGTAATGGGCAATGGAAAGTGCCGGACACTGGAAATTCTTCATGCGTTGAAGGGAATGGAGGAAATATTGTGGTGTCAACACTAGGACTCGACCTCCAGTTCTGCCGGTCATGAGATTAGCAGAGAGACCGCTCGGCTTCATTGTAGGTGGTTCTAGTTGGTGCAGTAAAATTATGGTTGTGTAACCGTAATAGGTGAAAGCAGTTATTAAACAGTTTTTCTCAAACTTAACTAACAGTTTGATTACCATTTTATTTATGGTTATTTGACGGTTTTTATTAAATACGGTAAAATAACCATTCAATAAATTGTTATTTAACAATTTTGTCCGAGAAATTTCTAACAGTGTAGTCCAAAACTGATTGCATTAGGAAGATAGAGGAATTTAATTCATGAATATTGTGTTGCAGATTGAATAAGTAAATTCTGAAATTTTGCTACCAAGTACGTTGGTTACATATAAAAGTCCTTTATGCATTTTGTGTAATCAGAATTTTGAGACAAACTTTCATTTGCTAAAAGACAAAGATCATCTAAAAGACAAAGATCATTAAGACAAAGATCATTTGCTAAAATGATTTTCATTGAAAAGAAGCTGAATATAAGCTAAACGCTGAATATTGGTGGGCTTGAGCAACAGTTTCCAAAACTTTTTGCGTCTGAGAACCCTTTAAAATAGAAATTTTTTCTATGGAACCACAATTCTGCGATGTTTATTTTTTAAATTTTAAAATAAATATTCATTATAAATGTCAGCATCTTGATTCAATGTATCTTCATTAAAATTTTCATCTTTATTCCTCAATTTGGACCCATGTGTTTTGCATACCTTGTTTTTTAAGTTTATGAAATATTAACAAAAAAATTTAGTTTTTCGAGTCATTTTATTTTTAACGATTTTAGATCTATGTATCTCACAAATAAATTCTTTTCAGATGAATGAAACGTGAGAAAAATCAAAGATACAGAAACCTAATTACGAAGCACTTTGAATTAAACTTGGAGTAAGCAATATCTTAATTATAAGCAAAACTTATGTTAAATATTGAAAATTGATATTTTAAAGATTTAAGAACAGACTTGAAATTAATGTAAAATCATAATTATAGTGAGGTATGCAATTGCTTCATTTTTGTAAAACCGCTTTGAAATATGACTTTGTGTAGGAAAGATAAAATCGAATATCAATGCTGCCTGCATCTTGCACCTATTTACTTTGTTTACGTAAGAAGAAATTCCTGCTTCATAAAAGTTGTTCTAAATAAACCGAAGCAAAATATTTGCGGCTTTTCTTGCTATTTCAGGATATTTGTCTTTTATTTCTACCCAAAACCACTCAATGGTATGTTTTCAAATTTTATTTTAAAAACTGGAACTATATTTGATAATAATCAAATTCTCGTATTCAAAGGCAGACAACATTTAGGACTTTATCGGAATATTGTAAGGGTTTTTCACGTATTCCACTTTTGAATTGTTTTCAGGAAAACATTCCAATAGTGATTTTTTTTTTCAAATGAAGCAAATGTGCAATAATATTATTGAGCAAATCATTTTCTGTTTCTTTATTTTTCTCCTTTGAAAGTTAAAAAAAGAAGGGAGAAAACATTTGAAATTTAGCTTTTTTGAACTTAAATAGAAAAGTCTAATATGCCCTTGAAAACTTCAATATTGTCATTGGCAGAAAAGATAGTAATATCTTTTACCTATTATGACACTGTAGCAGCGTTTAAATTCAAAAATATGCAAGCTAAAAAGAGTATTGCATTAGCCACCTAATATCACATAAAAAATGTTGTTAGTGGACAAAATGAAACCTAATTCTAATGTTAAGGATGTAAATTTCTTCGCTAATAATATCAAAATTCTAAGATCACTTAAGAAAATAGAAAATAGTCTGAAATTCAACAGTTTAGTTATCTTTTGCGGATTCTTCTAGTTTAATTGGCGCGGTTTCCAACCATTTTCCCCCTCTTTCTATTTAAGTAATAAAAACGGTTTAATTTTTTTTGGGAATAAAACCTACACGTTATTTCTAAACAGAAAAAGTTTTATGTTAGTGAAAATATGAAGAATTCATACATACTAGATATAAAATAAAATAATATAACATAATCGGCAAATCAAAAAATGCTTTGTTTCTACCCAGCTTTTTTTCTGTTTTCAACTTTGTTTTGTATTCCTTTCTGGTTTTTTATTCTTACTTTTATTCAGTTTGTTGTCGCGAAAATGCAAAATAACAAAATTAAAAATTAGAATTTGTTGAAATTTTAAAATGTCAAATAATTTCATGGAACCCTTTGAAGAACTCCGCAGAACCATAATTTGGGAACCTCTGAGCAAGAGAATTGATGTAGTTGGTGCCAGGAACTAATTTTTTAAAAATTTAATGTCATCATTTCAGCTTTGATGCAGTTATATTTTATTATATTGAAGTTTATTGTTTTGTACTTTTGTAATTTTAGTGACATGCTCTAATCTCATTTCTGCTGCATTGGTGTCATCTATGTATAATTAATTGTTTTTGAAATAAGAAAAGTTTTTTTCTGGAAAATTTATATTTCTAAAGCTTAAGATATCTCGAATTACAATAATCCAACAAATTAAAAACAAGTAGTCTTTCGATATTTTAATGCAAAATTTGTCTCTAATAAGCACTTAGGTTTGTAATTCAATGAAGAAAGAACAACCTTATTGCTTTTACGTTAAGGATAAAAAAACTGAAAAAAAAATCTAAATAAATTCCGGCATTATTGACTTCAAATGCATTATGATTTACTTAAAACTTTTCGGCAACTTTTTATTGTTGATGCATTCTCGTTTTAATTACGATTTTTTAGATTGAATTTATTATTATTAATTAATAAAAAGAAAATATGCGATTTTTAATTAACTGTTAGTTTAGTATGTTAACAAGATTTATAAAAAGCTCTGTGTGCAATTGAACTTAAATTTACAATATATAAGATTTCGAAAGTTGAAATCAATCGGATATCTACAGGAGGAAAGGGAGAAATTTCGGAAACTTTTATGAGTCTTACGTTTTCAACTATACACCTGTTTAGTTTACTAGAATTTATATTATTTCTTACCTACACGCTTAAGTAAAATTCAAAGCTTGGATAATAATATAAAAATAAATATACACGCTTATTTATTCAATGTGTGTTCTATAAATAATTTTAGAAAACAAGTAGCAATTTCAGTGGTAATGTAATTCAAAGCTTAGAGAACAGTATAAAATTAGATTTTGTTTTTATATGATTAATATTTTTCTTCGAAAACAAGAAACAATTTCAGAAGTAATGTAATTCATAAAAATAAGTATCTATGATTTTTTTCTTAATATGATCAATGATTGCTTTTAAGAAAGCAATGATTTTTTAAAAAAATAATTTCGATGTTTCCTTCAATTATAAATTAAAAAACTGCAGAATAAATGATATTAAAAAAATTATCTGCATCAGAAAAAGAGGTTTATTCTCAATTAGTAATGATAATAAGTAACAGGATGCAATAAGCACAGAAAAACGCTAAATTAAGGGCATAAATACCAAACGAACCTAAAAAAAGGACATTTTTTAGAGATAATTCATACTATTATTTAAATAGCTCCACTAGTGCCGAAGGAAATTAATCTGTTTGCTGACATACAAGTAACCAGATTAAGCAAAACATTTATAATAAATGTCTTTGACTTTCCAAAAGAAAAATAAATGCAGGAAAAGGAAGAGAACAAGTTCCCTTGGCGAATGAATCCCTTTATTTTGATGAAGCAAAACCATATTAATCCATTGAACTTGACCCATTTGAAGGACGCTGCTTCATATGTCTTTGTAGACGTGACTTCAATCTTAAATATTCTATTACAACTGTTGAACGCAGGCTACGCGGTTTAAGTCCGCAAGAAAGAGACGCATTAAACTGTAGTAACATTTGTGCGCCCTCGGCTATTTTTTTGCGTGCAGTTTAATGTCTTATTTATTTTCATTCGAATAAAGGGGATTTCATGATTTTATTGGATTCTTTTCCTATTTTAAAATAAACACTTAAGTAATTTAAAGAGTAAATGATTGTTGGAAATCGTTATTGTTTTCAACAATCATTTTCTCAGATGAATTCAGCTTTATTTAGTTGTGAATTTTTCATAAGTACAACTCACAAGTTTTGGTAAATAAATTCAATGAAGTTACCCTTTTTTTAAAGCTTAAACTGCTAATGTCTGAGGCCCTTTTCATTACCTTTCTTTTCAGTGATCAGAGCAGCTATTATGAGGAAAATTCTTTTCAATTTTATTCCAAAAATAGAATCAATGAGTTTTTATTAAAAGGAAATCTTGCAATAGAAATTTCCACTGCTTTCTGATCATCTTGTGTGCTAAAATCTTTTCTGAAGCTATAAGTTTGGTGAACAAATTGTTACTTGATCCCCACAAGCAAAAATTGTCTAATCAACATTTAAAATTTTGACTACTTTCTCACTAGTTGGAGTGTTTAAATTTTAACTGGAGCTTATCGCCAGGTTATTATACAGGTTTAAATTTTTTCCTAAATATTTTAAGCAAAATTTATCTCTTATCCATTTTATCACTTATCGAAATTTATCGCACTTTCTAAAGTAAACAAACTAACGAGTACAAAACTAAGAAGAATCAGAAGAATAAAATGAAATTAAAATTTTAAAATATGCGTTTCTCAAGTGAACGAACAGGGAAAAAAATAATTCTATTCCGAAAAACATTGTTTTAAACATTTTCTACTTCCTTTTAATTTTTTTAAATAACTATGCTGATAAGGAGGAGGATAGAGTTTGTTGCTTTTACTCAGTTTGACAGTATGAATGCATGAAAAAAGTTTTCGAACATTTTAAATGTCCCTTTCTAAATACGGGGTCTTTCATTCATACTTATAAAATTGATAAGTACTTCGTATGACATTCGATTTAATTTAAAGTTCATCTGCATTCGTATGCCGTAAGCTAAATGAAACATCCTCCTCTTTTTAAATGTCATTTTACAATGCGTCCAGCGTATTAAAAAAAAGTTTTCACTATTTTTCTACCTGCCTGATATTAAGGTTATTATAATCAGCCTACATGACTTTAGGCTAATTAAGAAATATATGAAAATACAGTTACTTGAACTCAACCAGACTGGATTTCATTAGGCTTTATTAAAATAAACTTTAAAAAGGCGATTTACAATAAACCTTCAATTAAAATCTGAGCTTATTGCAAACTGCTTGAATTAAAGCACGCAAATTCAGCAATAAATGCTAGATTTTTTGAACCAGCATTTCAGGATCATTGCAATGAGCCGGAAATGCGTCATACGGCTTAGAAAATGTTGAAGATTTTCCGATTAGACAGGCGCTTGGAAAAATAAAGGCGGATGCTTGCTGACAGCTGGATTATTCAATTAACCTATTGCTATATACAACTACTGTACTTTCTTATACACATAAGATTTCTTAATTGCAGTAAAAGTGAAGGCATGAAAGTTAAACGTGATGGTTTAAACATAAAATTATAAGGATTGTCTTATTCAACGTCTGTTATTTTGTTATTTTTTTCCCGTAAGTTTTATGTACCCTCGGTTGGGAACAAGTATGTGTAAGACATCACTATGACTTCGGGGCTTAAACATTCTTTCGCGGTAATGATTTGGTAAATATATAAATCTCATTTGAATTTTCCAGCAGTCCCTTTGAATATTAGATAATTCAATAAACTTAGAGTCGAATTAAATATTAAAGTTTCAAATGAATAGTAATACGAATGTTTAAAAACAGTACATTTGATGCTTTGACACTTGAAAGCAATACAACTGAGATATTTTATTTATTCTATTTATTATAGAACGCGCGTGTTGAGGAAGTAGTTTGAAATTATATCTCTCTAAAATAACTACTGTGTTTGTGAAAAACTGAGAAAAGTAGACTTTTACAGATGTGATTATTTTAGATGACTTTTAAATACTTGAATTTCGAGGTCATTGATTGAATAAG